GACGCGCTGTCGTCCGTCCGTCTGTTCATTCGGTCGTTTGTTCGCCCGCCCGCCCGCTCGCCTGCCTGCCTGCCTGCCACGTCGCGTTGCGAATGCATATACGTCGTCCGGAGCCCACCGAGTTTGTACGTTAAGATGTTTAATCACTTCTGTAATTAAACTGTCCCTCAAAGGGTTAATTGTCCCATAAACCCATGAATACGTTAACGAGCGCGCTACGCACCTCGCGAACACCGCCATCGGCCAAGGAGCCGCGGTCGCAAAACGGAACGCATAAAGCGCCCCGCGGAAAGGAAGTACGAACCGTGGAGACCGTTAGCTGCGCGAAGGCTCCGCGCAAAAGGGTCGGCCGGAACGCCGAAAGGTAAAAAGATCTCGCGTCGCTCGTCGGGAGTGACGTCAATTTGCGCGAAAATCATTTCGCACGCTACTTTCGACGTCTTACTCCGCGTACACGACCAGAAGGCGAATACGACAAGTCCTCAGTTTTCAATTTCGGATTGCAACGTTGCTTCTTTTTCGGCTAAAGTGATCCGCGAGCGAATGAGTATACTCGTTTGCTCGTTTCTCCGAAAACCCCCGAGAGCCGAATTGCTCCGTGAAGCCTTATCCCTTAGACAGGGTTCGCGCAATGAGAAAACGCGAACGAGATGGGACGGGATACAAGAGAGGAAGGGGGAGGAGTCGTGACGGGTTGGGAAAGTAACAGAAAGTAGCGAAGAGTGTTAATTTTCGAAATGAAAACGAGACATCCATCTTTAGCGAAATGCTTGGCGCTCGACGCTTCAGCGCCTGGCCCATTCTCTCTCGCTCAATGCATTAGAGTAATGAATTAATTTCCATTGGAGTTCCAGCTCCTCTTGCCTCTCCCTTCCCCTGCCCGCCTCGCACCACCGTCCTCTGTCACGCGCAGCCCCCTCGCGGCTGTTCGCGTCGACCCTTACCCGCCGACATCCGTCTTCTCAGTGCGGATTTAAAATCTATTTTCCTAATTGTAACCGTACGCGCGGTTTCCTTCTTGATTTTCTGTTCCCATCGAGCACGTAGCCCGACGACGGCGACGCGCTTTCCGTTCGCCGTGACGTCACCGGGATTTCAAGGGTATCGAACGGTCCCGCACGGAAAATCGTCTTTTCCGCCAGAACGGCGTGCTCTCCCGGCTGCGTATTCGCCCAAATCCGCGCGCTCGTCCCGTCGTATCGCGCAGGTAATTCGCGAGTCGGCGCCCGAGCATACACCGAACCTCCTCGAAAGGTGCCTCAGGGATGGCAATCGTGTCTCACCCACCTCCACCTTCTTTGCGTCTTTACGAGGTCGTAAGGGGCGAGAGAGCGAGCGAGCGAGCGAGTGAGCGAGCAAGCGAGCGGCGTGACTGGTGGGCGAGCCGGGCGACCCAGGGAGAGGAACCGGGGGCCGCGGGGGACTGGAGGCACCGAGCAAAGGGGGAACCAAGACTCCGGTCAATTAAGCGCAGGAAATTAGAGTTTTAATTACGCAGTCATTCAGAAAATTACATCGGGGGCCGTGAAGAAGGCATCCGCAATCGCCAACGAGCGGTGGCGGCGGCGGCGGCGGCGGCGGCGGTGATAGCGTTGGTGGTGGTGATGGTGGTGGCCTTTCTCTCCTCCCAGGCGTCTGATGATTTTTCGAAACCAACGTCACGAGTGCGTGCTAAATTTATAAGACATCCCGGAAAATCCCGCCTTTACGACGAAAGTTCTAACGAGATCGGCCGAGTCTCGGAAGACGCGATTAAAAATGCCGCTCGAATCGCTAGATGGGGCGCGCTAATCACAACGGGGACCCGAGACACGAGGCCCGCACCTTTCAGCTACATATTTTCGCATCTTGATTCTTCTCGCTTCCTCTCTTCCGCAGCGAAATCGGGAAAACGCACCCATCTACCCAGATGGACTTTTGTGATTGTCACAACGCGAGAAGATCGATGATGGAGACTTTACAATCTTTTTAATTACATTTATGAGGCAAATACACTGTATTGAACTAATTATGAAATTTGTGTCAAACAAATGTGAAATTTTTGTTGTATCGATGCAGCAACAAATTTACTAAAAGTTACTCTTGAATTTCTATATTACACTAATCATGACATATTATGTCACAATAATAATGTGTAATGTAATGAAAATCTAAGTGTAAGTTTGGAGAAAAATTTGCGATTAAGTTTAGCTCCATTTTGCGGCAATCTTGAATTATTCTTTTGATAAAATTGCAGCTATATTCAAAAGTGGATTAAACATATACGAATAGCAAAGCGATGCACCTCATCATTTAGAAGAAAATGGGCGATACTATTTCCATAGAATACATATTTTTTTGACCCAAGATATGGAAATAAACAGTATCGTCAGGATTCTTAGAGGAAACATATGGGAAACATTGTAAAAAATGAGAGGAAAGTATTTGTATCAATGAAATAATATAGATTATAAATGCTAATATTTATTAATTTAGGGTGACTTTTACCAAGTTCTTATTAACTTAATCGTCGATTAATTCCGTGGTAGCTAGCAGAATTGGTCAATAACTATTTGCTGTTCCAGTGGACTTAATCGACGATCAAGTTAATCGGAGCTTAGTAAAAATCGTCCTTATGCCCGTTTCTACCAATTTTAGTTAACTTAACCGGCTGGTTATTGCGACGAAATTGATCAATTGTATTTCTTATTAGTTATAGAATTGACAAATGCGATATGCGATACGCGATTGGTCAATTCCATTGGAACAGAAATAGAAATAGAATCAAATAGAATTTGATAGAAACGCATTAGTGCATCTGCAACCGACTTATTACTAACATTTGTGTTGCGTGGGTAAACTGTAAGTGTAGAAAACCTTACCATTATTCTAATAAAATGCTTGTATGTACCGCTGGAAGCGTCATGTTGGTTTTGCTATTCTTTTTGAGCCATTTTCTCCCAAATAGGATGAGGCGTATCACTGATTCTTACATATCTTTAAAATTTATCCATCAATAACTATAATTTTATTAGAACACAATTTAAGATTTCGAATGTCACAAAATGAGGCCAGAAGCTTATGACAGCTTGGCCGCTCTCCTTCATTAATTTCTTTTAAATATGAGTGCGGTCTGATGAGTCATAAAGGACTCAACGTTGCTGAATTTCGTAATCTAATCCACTTAAGATTGTCGTGAGACTTACGCACATCAGTCCATCAGGATATTTGAAATGCGAAGAGATCGCGGGTTAAACGAACAGATCCACAGTGAAAATACAAAAACAGCT